TTTGCTAAATATTACACTTTCAGAGTCTTTATAGGCTGTCTCTTATACACATCTGATGTGTATAAGAGACAGATATATATATATATATATATATAAGAATTTGAAAGAGCTGTAGAGCAGTTGTATCGATAATAATAAACCAAGCACAATGGATGTAAACTTGTGCGAGCTTTTCGTCGATCCTATCAACATGACTTCGTCGGGCAGGCTTACATCTTTAGCGCTTCATTTATTATCGATCAAACAGTTCTACAGTTAGGCCCTATAATAAGAAAACCATATGAGACTATTGGAACATTTGTTATCAAATTATGAATGCTCGAGTGTTCTTAAAATCTTATCTTTTGCCTAAAAATTGCTCGTTCTTTAAATTAAAGAGCAGAAAATTAGAGTAGGCCCTAAACATAGTTCATAATGGGCAATCTCAGCTATTGATTCTGATTGTCAAAAAAATGGATATAGCTTTTACCTCTATTATTCCGGTTCGCCGAAACTGTAAAGTGGCCTACCTAAGAATAGGCCTATTTGTCTTCGGCTGCCTTGATTTAAATCCAGAGACTTATTTTTTCAAGTAATGATTTTTTCAACAATCAATAAAACCATTTGGCCAACCGATACCGGTGTAGTGGCAGTTCTTGTCAGTTTCGTCTCGTGATAATTATAGATCCACGCTTATGTGGCAATCTTGAGTGGATATTAGCAATACAGAAAATCCATTGTATAGGCCTTGCCTGCCGTATGCTGTATTATAGACCTTACGTTTAATAGCATTTAGGGCTCTCAGCGACGAACCAGGAACTATCAATAGGTAAATCAACGATGATTTTGATCCGAACAGGTAATTCTAATATAGCTTACAGGTAGACATCTATCACCTGACCGATGGATATATGGCCTAGGCATCACGTGCCAGTCATAACAAACTTGGGACTTTGGAATTGCGAAGTGCTATCGCCAACACTATAACAGGACACTGCACACGTCACTCAATGTCACAAACGTCACACTTCAGTGTACTTTATTTTACAATGGGTTGATAAGGAAACAACAACGGTGTAGTAGTAGGCCTAATGTTCACGACAGGAAACTAAACATACCTCCTTGCGTGACGTCAGCATTGCTCAGACGATCAGGAAATAAGCTCAGTAGCAATTTTTACGTGTTTTGTTCATCACATTGTTCCCGCTATTGTGTTGAACAAAAAAAAAATGGTAGAATTCGTTGTTGCTCAAAGAGATGGAGAGCGAACCCTAGGTAAAATTCCTTAACTCAGGACACAAGCGAAATGCACTAAGCAAAGAATTGAACCTCCTACCTCAATGTTGAAGCAGAACCGCAAGCTGCGCCAAACCGCTCCTTCTATGCCTATTTATTTTTTATTTATTTATGTAGTCGTTTATGTGAATTCGGTTACGGGCTTCGTAAAAAACGGATATAGGCGCAAATCACCGAATACCATTGTTTGATTATTACGTCTACTTATAAGTTACTCATCTTTTGTTTTTATAAATAATTTAATTTAATAGGCCTATATATTAGGCCTACTAGAAAGTTTACCAGACAGATGTTTTTGTTGTAGACTGGCATACACGGTACCAACGCTTGTTTTTACTGTTTCTACGTCAGCTCGTCAGTGTTCTAATATAGACAATGGGTCGTGTCTCATATTATTTGTTATATTTATATGCAGATGTACTTCGCAGCACTTCACTTGCAATTTGCAATTTCTAGTTTTAAATCTTTGCCGGGCGCTTGGCATGTAGTATGTTGTGAATATATACCTACCTATAAAGACTCTGAAAGTGTAATATTTAACAAGCGATGAATGTGATTCCGTTTGCTCAGAATTTAGACGGATTTTTGCCGAACATAACAAGACCGAATAAGTTTCAATGCAAACGGGACTGTCACAGCACGTGTGTGAGACTGGCTTCTTTAGTGCAATCGTTGTACAGTAGTGCATAGCAGTTCCCGACACAATCAGGAAAGCGATGCACTCCGATTTGACCCGGACCAATCAGCATCATCGAAAGCTGTCGGTGATAGCTTGTAGCGATTGTATGGAAACCAAGCTCTACTTCTCAATCATCTTAGTACCAAATATTTTGATTTCGTTAGTCCTTGTTAATATTAAAGAGTCATGACTCAAAAATCTCGCCTAGTGGTTATGATGCATTCACTCATATTATTAGATGCGCACTCTTTCCAAGGCACAGTCTGCTAGCTCAGATGGAAAAAACTATAGACCAAATGTAAAAGGCATTCGCCGACACATGCAGTTGCTCCTTAGGCCTACAAAAGTGTGGAAATGCTAGTAATTAACACTGGTTTATTGCACCAAATAAAACGATGCAAAGTTTCTGTTATTTGTCTCGGTTTCGTAATGTTAGTTATATTATTTCTTATAGATCAGATGACAGAACTATGCCGCTTAACATATTCATACTTTCATATTCGTTTATTTCCCACATCTGAAAATTTGGGCCGGGTTTTCTCGGAGTTCGTCTCCATTAAGCTTTGTGCTAAAAGCTTGAAGATTGTTATTTGGGTCTTTGGAAAAGAGGTCTCGAATTATTAGAGAAGTCTCAATTTGGAGAGTAGGCCTACACTGGAAGACATAGGCCTACCGGTACACATGACAAACTAGGTCTACATTGTGCTGCGAAACAATAGTATAGTGAAAGCCCACGGTACTATTTGACTATAGTAAATCCAGTAAAAACAATACATAACTATATACATTAAATTTAAATAAATGTTTGTATACATAGTCTTTCATTCATATTATACAAATATTTAAACACGTCCTTATAATAATCCGCTTTCGCGTTATATCATTTTTCCAGGATTAACTTCTTTGTAACGAAATCGGAATTGTTTTCGACGACACGGCATTGTACGAGGACCTGTGAGAACGTTTCTGGCCATCCAGTGCACTTAATATTCTTTAAAAAAACCTCATTTTGGAGGCGGAACTCCCCAC